TGGGCAGAGGTGAGTCACACCATCTCTAATCAGTATTGAGCTGATTTTCCACAGGTGAGGAGCAGAGGGAGCGGCAGCTGCAGGAGATTTCCAAATCAGGGACGCGGGTTTAAAAGGAGGATGGAGACACCTCACTGTGCCGGATGATTGCACCTGTTTAGGTAGCCCCAGCCACTTGTTTTTGCTCTAGTTCGAGTTTAGACTCACTCTTTGATTCTTGGATTTATGACCTCGGACTGTGATTTTGGACTACGTTTTTGGATTACCCCTTACGTCTGGTGTTTTTTCCCTTCCCCTCAGGATCCTCACACCACCTGCTCTACCCTCGCTGTCTATGAACTCTGGGTTTCATACACCACGTCCCATCCTCCTCCGTTGTTCCTGTGTGGTTTCCATCTGCTACCTCACCCATCCTGGATCGCTCACCCTCTGCCCAGCGCTCACCCCGGCTTCCCCTCCTCCCTCGTTCATCCCGAACGCTACACGGACTTGAGCTGCACCGCTCACTCCCCACAGGACTTTCCCTGTGCTATTTTTGTTCCCGTTTTCATAATGAAGAACTTTACCTAATCTGCCCGACGAGTAAAGATTCTGCATGTCTTGGGTTAGGCACTTACCTCGAGTCATGACACATGCATGGTAGAATAAAAGAGCAGTACAAGATGTATAATGATGACTGATTTAAGACATATTTAACTTGAAAGAGTAATGAGACTGATTTAGACATTTTTCAATTTATATATTTGATACGTCTTTTCCAACTCAGTCTTCATCTATCATTACACCAAGGAATTTAATTTCAGCCACTCAGTTTCTACAGGTGCTGGCCAGTAAATTAGAATATCATCAAAAGGTTGAAAATATTTCAGTAATTCCATTCAAAACGTGAAACTTGTACATTATATTCATGCAATGCACACAGACCAATGTATTTCCAATGTTCATTACATTTAAATTTGATATTCATAAGTGACAACTAATGAAAACTCCAAATTTGGTATCTCAAAAAATTAGAATATTCTGAAAAGGCTGAATATAGAAGACACCTGCTGCCACTCTAATCAGCTGATTTACTCAAAACACCTGCAAAGGCCTTTAAAAGGTCCCTCAGTCTTGTTTTGAAGGCACCACAATCATGGGGAAGACTTCTGACTTAACAGCTGTCCAAAAGACAATCATTGACACCTTGCACAAGGAGGGCAAGACACAAAAGGTGATTGCTAAAGAAGCTGGCTGTTCGCAGAGCTCTGTGTCCAAGCACATTAACAGACAGGCGAAGGGACGGAAAAAATGTGGTAGAAAAAAGTGTACAAGCTCTAGGGATAACCGCACCCTGCAGAGAATTGTGACGACAAACCCATTCAAAAATGTGGGGGAGATCCACAAAGAGTGGACTGCAGCTGGAGTCAGCGCTTCAAGAACCACCACGAGGAGACTCATGAAAGACATGGGATTCAGGTGTCGCATTCCGTGTGTCAAGCCACTCTTGAACAAGAAACAGCGCAAGAAGCGTCTCGCCTGGGCCAAGGACAAAAAGGACTGGACTGATGCTGAGTGGTCCAAAGTTATGTTTTCTGATGAAAGCAAGTTCTGCATTTCCTTTGGAAATCAAGGACCCAGAGTCTGGAGGAAGAGCGGAGAAGCACAGAATCCACGTTGCATGAGGTCCAGTGTAAAGTTTCCACCGTCAGTGATGGTGTGGGGTGCCATGTCATCTGCCGGTGTTGGCCCACTCTGTTTCCTGAGGTTCAGGGTCAATGCAGCCGTCTACCAGGAAGTTTTAGAGCACTTCATGCTTCCTGCTGCTGACCAACTTTATGGGGATGCAGACTTCACCTTTCAACAGGACTTGGCACCTGCACACAGTGCCAAAACCACCAGCACCTGGTTCAAGGACCATGGTATCCCTGTCCTTGATTGGCCAGCAAACTCGCCTGACCTTAACCCCATAGAAAATCTATGGGGTATTGTGAAGCGGAGGATGCAATACGCTAGACCCAACAATGCAGAGGAGCTGAAGACGACTATCAGAGCAACCTGGGCTCCCATAACACCTGAGCAGTGCCACAGACTGATCGAGTCCATACCACGCCGCATTACTGCAGTTATTGAGGCAAAAGGAGCCCCGACTAAGTATTGAGTGCTATACATGCACATTCTTTTCATGTTCATTCTTTTCAGTTGGCCAACATTAGAGAAACAAACATTTTTTCACTGGCCTTTAGAATATTCTAATTTTCTGAGATACCAGATTTGATGTTTTCATTGGTTGTCACCTATAAATATCAAAATTAAACGTAATAAACATCGGAAATACATTGGTCTGTGTGCATTGCATGAATATAATGTACAAGTTTCACGTTTTGAAGGGAATTACTGAAATATTTTCAACCTTTTGATGATATTCTAATTTACTGGCCAGCACCTGTATATTGTTTATCAGGAGTTTCTTGTTGGTAATGGTTGATCTATTGCCAAATATAATATACTTTGTTTTATTTAAATTCAGTGTTAATTTATTAAGGTCAAACAAATCCTTCTGTTAAGTTCATTACCAATTGTATCCAGAAGCTCCTCCAAGTTGTCACCACTACAAATTAAATTTGTTTCATCAGCAAACAGAATGGTTTTTAACAAACAAGACACCTCACAAATATTGTTTATGTACAAAATAAACAGTAACGGTCCCAAAACTGAACCCTGAGGAACTCCAGACCTTATTTTCATTTAAGTTTTTACCTGATTTATTTCAAGAAACTATTCTCTATCACTCAAATAACTTGAAAGCCAGCTGAGGGCCACTCCTCTCACCCCATACATTTGAAGTGACTTGAGCATATTTGATATTTTAGCACAAAAGCGGCACAGCATGGATAAAAATCACAAATCATTCTTCGTCCTGGGTTTGATCTTGTACTGCTAAATGCAGCAGCACTTTGTTTAGAACAAACTTAAGTTGAACTTTCTCTTTCTACTTGTTTCAGCAAATTTAAGCTTTAAGAAGCTTTATTTCTGGAATTTATTTATTAGCATTGTCATTAAATTGAAGTTGGACAGATGACTTGAATGTGACTTTAAAATTCAAAGTTAAGGACTTGGACTTGACTTGGACTTCCACATCATTGACTTTATACTCGTTATGAACTTGGTTGTCTTTGACTTGGACTTGACATGAGACTTGACTGGAAAGACTTGTGAGTTACTTGTGACTTGCAAAGCAGTGACTTGGTCACACCTCTGTCAGATTGTGCATTGCAGCATTATCAAAATTTGACTAAAACAACCATCCTTTCTGATCAGCTTAAAACTCTGGCATTATGGTGGCAGGTGATCTGCCTTCATTCAAAGAGTGATTAGAGTTCAATTTGATTAGGAAGAAAAGCAGCCAGTATAAAAACTGAACGTGTGTGTGTGTGTGTGTGTGTGTGTGTGTGTGTGTGTGTGTGTGTGTGTGTGTGTATTGACCTGTACTGTATTCAGTATCAACAACCACCTCTTGTCTCATTATGCATTGTCCAGTAATTAGGGTCACTTTAAAGCTTGTGGACATGGTGTCCACATTCATTTAACTCATGATGGCATAGCAACACACACCAACCGGTAACACCTAAATCAACTTTGTTTTTGCTGATAACCTGTATAGATGAATGTTTAATAGCACTGTATGCAAAATCATTAATTTGGCAGTTTAGTGCAACTTATTTAAAACGCAATAATTCAGCCCAAAACCATAATAATACAGTATCTCCATCTTCAGGTAAAACACTGCTCCACACTGATTAAGAATCAGCCACAGCTGATGGCTAGAGACGTGTAGGGTCGCATCTGTACCGTACCACGTGGCTGCACCTCCAGCTGGCTCAGCCATTCACCTGCTGATATGACACGTTATGGCTCAGAGCTACTCTTCTTCTTAAGAAAAGGTCCTCCTCCACTCTTTCTTCTAGTGATCGGGGTGGACAAGAAATCCTCCCGCCTGCTGCAGTTTCTGTGTTTGCTCGTTCTCCTGAGCGGTGAGTCTTCTTTGTGTGTGCACGAGCGAGCATGCATGTTAACGAATCGTTTTTCCGACTGAGAAACTCCAAGAACACAGGGAGGTAGGGGGTTTGGCGTAGTGATGTCAACTGCTGCGTCAGTGCTGTTCCCTCGGCCTCCGTAATGTACATGTGACTCACCCTTTAACAATTGTTCACATAATAGTTGCTGATAACTTTCCCCATGGTATACATTATTACTTCTATCATCTACAGAAAACTGAAAGCTGAATTTTGAGACATTAAGCTACTTTGTACAGCCAGCAGGGGAGAGCAGGTCAAAGGTCAACAATGTCATCAGCCAGGAGAAGCAGAAATGCTGCTGTCTGAATGAACAGGTCTGCTGCATGTGTGCAGTCCTTACACAATCCCACCAGGTGTGCTTAATTTGTGCTCAGAAAGGTGGTGTTTATGCATTCCTCTGGCGGAGACTGAAACGCGCAGCTGTCAGAGAAATATTGAGGCCATGATGTATGAAATGAGCAGCATCAAAAACAGTTTTCAGCCAATTTTTAAGTCCAAATGATTCCCCAGCGTCACACTAGATTAGGAATCATGATGACTAAAGGAAACAAACATTATAGAAGTTTGAACCTGTGACTTCATAGCTACACATTATCATAGACTGGTCCGTTCCAAACAGCCATTATTCTATTTGCAGACAGGTTCAGAGTCACAAAGAACAGTGAAACAATTCAGCAGCTGTTTCACCATCTGCACCCAATTTGGCCACTCTGTCATTACAGAAATTTCACTAAACATGCTCAATCCACACAAAAACCTCAGTGTCAGCAACAAGTCGCATCGAGAGCATCTGGTTGTGGGGTCAAGGTCAGACCTTTTCTCGAGGCTGTGGTACAATCACATCAGAGCCTTTACCTTTTGGAGAGTAAGTCATCATGTATTTTAAGCAGTTCCAGATTCAGTCAGAGCTGATGTATCTGAGCTTTTCTTTGAGCATCTCACCTGACCACTTTGGTACCACCTTTGTTGACCTGCACGTCCACCATGCATCCAGAGTTGACGTAAGAGGCCAGGTTGATCTCTGAGAACTCCGCCTGGCAAAACATAAACACAAGTTTACATTTTAGGGACATACAGCAAGAGGTCTGTGTACCGTATCTGAACTCTGACTTTTGGATTCCAGACAAAAATACTGTAGATTTATATAGAATGAAACCAAACTGCTTTTGACTTTTGGAGCTCGTATGAATAGATCAACCAGCCTAACAGAGCTGTAATGGACCCTTTTACGTCATTACACCACTCAGCCTTTGCACGGACGAGAGTAAAGAGTTGGAGAGACAGAAGAGCTGGACAGAGAAGGCAAATTGAGTTATCCCCAGTCTGTGGCCTCCAGGACAGTGAGGGCCTTGTGAAACGCCGTAGCCTGGCTACTTAATGACTCAGTCAAACTCCCACAGATACTCTATGGGAGCGACAACACTCGATTTCTGGGAATGGACTCTCTGGATGTTTTGGACCATATAAAGAGATCTTTTGATTTCCAGAAATGGATGATTGGTGGTATTCAGTGACAGAATAAAAACAAGGATTACACATCATCTAATTGTAAAATCTACTTTATATGTAATAAAAATGATCATAAAAGGGCTGCATGGTGGTGCAGTGGTTAGCACTGTTGCCTCGCAGCACGAAGGTTGCAGGTTCGAAACTTGGCTGCAGCCTTTCTGCGTGGAGTTGCGTGTTCTCCCCATGCATGCGTGGGTTTCCTCCGGGTACTCCGGTTTCCCCCACAGATCACAACATACCCTATAGGTTATAAATTGTAAGTCGCTTTGGATAAAAACATCTGCCAAATAAATAAACATAAACATAAACATGGGTTCAGTGCCCATTAGAGCGCCTGTATTGAGTGTTTTTACCACATGAGTAAACAATGAGCGATGGGAGTTTTGACCAAACAAGTTTTCTTCTGACATCTCTCCGATAGAATGGACCTCTGTCTGATAGATCTTAGTTATCTGTATGGTAGATGCATTCAATACAAGTAAAGCTGTTTACACAACACACTGACACCAAGCAGACTTCTTGGACAGTGTTGCTAACAGATGAGAATATTGGTAAACATGAATGATAGGATGTTCACACCCAGCCAAGGCCCGGTGCACACAGAAAGATAATCATACTGACTTTCAACCTGATTCTCCACATCTGACCAGCTTAAGGACACCCTGATCAGAAGTTAAGCTAGACATTTTTGTTATCTGTCATTTTGACTAAAAGGGTAAATTGAAAGAGTTGTTTTCGTGTCTCTTTCAATTTTGAAATTTTAATAAATAAACATTCAATATCTTTCAAATTAGAGATGTCCCGATCAGGAGTTTAAGATTTTAAGCATCAACTGATACCGAGTTCCGATACTTTTATAATACATTTAAAAAAGAGTGACGAAGAGGAATCACAAATCTTTATTTGTCATGTACCAGCGTCCCAGTAGAACAAAATAACAGTTTCAGAACAACGGGTACAAGATTTGACATAGCAATAACAAGACAAGACACAACATAACAGAATCAGGCTGAACTGTGAGCATGCTCGTACCTCACGCTCCCATATGCAGATAGAAAAGTGTTACATGAGGATAGGGATCCAGAATGCTCCTCGTTTTAACACTTAACTCTGGTAACAAAGACAACACTTCTGTGAGGTAGCATGAACAATTAATTAATAAACAACATAAATTCTTCACTTTGGGACTTTAGTTTAATGTTGTCATCAAATTTATACCTCCAGACAGTAGACATACTTGGGCTTTCAGCTTCAAACTGCTTCCACGTTGTACTTTGCCGGCATTTAACCAATTGCGTCTCTGTCGTTCCTCATGTGTTGCTGTTTCTGTGTGGAGTCAAGTGGTCTAACTCTGTGCCACACCATAACTATAGTCTATGTTAAAAGATAATGACTCATATATATATATATATGACATCTTGAAAAGTTACCTAACCCAGGGTCCAAATGTTTCATGTCATGTCGACATCCAAGTGGGATCACAGTTAGACGTTCACATAATGGACCTGGTTTGAATGTCCAACAGATGTTTAGAATTGGTCTAAACCAGGGGTGTCAAATATGCGTCCTGCGGGCCAGATCCGGCCCGCAAGCAGGTTAAATCCGGCCCGCGAGATGGTTGTGTAAACTATTTTCATACTTTACAATGTAGAGTGAAAATAAACTTATCTTTGTGAGCAAGTTTTCTCTGTAATGAGTATAAATAAAACAAATGCGCTCAAGGCTCACACAAGAACTTGAATCACATCCTGAAGTTGGCTGCCACTCAGGATGTGACTTCTGATATTGATGTGCTGGTGAAAGCTAAAAGATGTAAAGTAAAATGAGTCAAATATATTTTAAGTGCTACATGAAACTGATATAGCCATGTGATCTGTAAGCTCTTTGAATAACTAACGAATGTATTTTTTATTTATTGATTTTTAATTTTTTTCAAAATTTCAAGTACACTTCAGGTGTTGTACTTGTACTATTTTGGATACACTGTCCTCAGGCTCCAGCCTTGTTTTATATTGATTGTATTAAAACAAAGAAAACAATCTGAAGTTGTTTTTAATTTACCGGTCCGGCCCACTTGGGACTAGATTTCCCTCAATGTGGCCCGTGAGCTAAAGTGAGTTTGACACCCCTGGTCTAAACTGATAAGACTCAATATTGATCTGCACGTCCACGCGATGTTGATTGTTTGGTGGGATTGAGGTACGAGACCCTTTCAGTAATATTTTGTAGCCAGGCTGTTTTCATGTGTGTGAAATAGCCAAACCATAATGGGGTGGTTGATGCTCATTCACTAAAAGCCCTGCTGAGGTTGCTACAGGGCGTGTGGTTTTCTTGTACCTCAATTCAAAGAAAACTCATGAAGTATTTCCCAAATAAAACTTTTAAATTTAAACCATGACCAAAAACAAAATAAATAACATGTGTTGTTAAAAACAAATAAAAAAACAACACATTAAAAAAGGAAGGTCCAAAGTGCAGCCAGGGTACACTGTGGCCCCAGCAGCATGGCTAGGATATCTCTTTAAATAAAGAAACAAACCAAAGGGGCGTTTTGATTACTCGTAGCATGAATTCCTGTTCCTGCGTCTGCATAGTTTATCTGTGTCTGATTTAAACAAAGGATCCAGCTGTTGCTCGACCTTCACTAACATTCAGTCTCTCATCAAACCTGCTTTACTTTGAGCCAATTTTCTATTATTCCTCTTACATGAAGGCATAGTTGAATAGCATGAGGCTGGTTTCAGTCAGATTGACACACACACAGACACACACACACACACACACACACACACACAGCTGGATCCCACCGATTATGTTTCCTAATGAGAGTTTATATGTGTCGGGGTTAGGCAGCGTGTTGGAGAAACTCCCTCGACACCAGGTAAAGATCAGCTTCTGACCTCAGACATCAACAGCTGCTGTTTGTTATTCTCCACGTTCCTTTAAACTGTGACACGACACAAATGCTGAAGATTAAATGGACCCTAAACAAGTTGCCTGCTGATTGTCTGTGAACAAAAACAAAAACCAACTCTGACATGTTGAGGTCAAAAACCAAGCACAACACAACTCAGCACGCACGACTGGATTAGATTTGTTTGGGGGTGCTGGAATCCAGAGTCAGCCTTGGATCAGGCTCCGTTACTTACTGCCTTTAAATCCTGCTGTGTGAAATATTACTAAACAGATAAATAATCTACTGAAATGCCATCCACAGAGGTGTCAGAAATCAGAGCAGAGAGTTCAGCCTGTTTATCCGCTCTGTCGGTAACGTTTCGTGACATAAGACTAGACGTGGGATTTCTCAAATTCCTTCCAGAGTGAGGCTCTGCACACATGTAGAGCACATGGCTGATGGTATTTGGTGCTGCCTAATCAGAGAAATGGGTTTATGACTGCAGGGTAGATGGACTAAAGCCTGGAATGTCTTCACAAATAAGTAGCAAAGAAACAAATCCTTTGTAGACAGTCTGTGTTGGAAACAGCTGCACCAATGCATTTGAGTCCAAAACGTTGTGAAAGATTTTTATTCACAGTTGAGATTATCACAAAGCGACAGGACATTACAACTGTCCTTCCATTGTAAGATGGGTCCAGTGGTGGTTTGAGAATGTATGTTTGGTGGCGCTCAGCCCCCATGGCAGCTAAAGCAACTGCCATCAGATTTTACAAGGAAGCCTAATAATGTCAGATTTATGTCAAATGCTATGAAACATTTAAAGGAACTTTTTAAGAAAACTCACTGAAATACCCAAAAATATATATTGAATGTTACATGAGTCAACTAAAGGCATACATTGCAACTTGAGCCAGTGTGTGCAAAAATGACCCTTTACAGGGTTAATGACAAGACAAGACAGCTTTATTTATATAGTGGAGCTAACATTCCAGAGCTGAAGTCTGCTTCCAGCATGTTTCCTGCGTGCTTTAGATCATGACCACAGCTGATTTGTTTGATTTACTGATTAACCAATCCTGTGGACACTAATGAAGACTGAGGAGACATTTCAGCTGTTAGATTAAGGTGTTAAAAGGACAAATGCGCAGTGAGTATTTCTTTTGTTTTTACTAACAGTTGCTGGGGGGTGCTAAACACAAGCCAAAACTGCTTAGCATCCTTTTATAATACTACAGTTTTTGCATTTTGATTTTTGTTTTCCCCTGTATTATTTATGTATTTAAATGTATTTACCTATTTGCTTCTATGTTTTTCTAAATGCTTGACCATAGCTGAACAAGTCACAGGATAAATCAGGAACTTGGCCCGGCCATTTATGGAAAGTAATTTAGATCTTTTGCTGAACAATCAGAAGAAACAGCTTTTCTTCAACCACAAATGCTCAAATAGATTGAGATGGAAAAAAAAAAACTCTAACCCTTTCCTCAACCCAGCTAATTAGATGACCCAATTCATTTAAACAATTTGGTGCCTTGATGTTTTAAGCTTTTTGTCCAGCTTCAAATGGTCTTTAAACCATTTAAATCTTCTCTGAGATTAATTTAACCATCATCCTGTGCTGTGTTC